AGGCAACTCTTCCATTATGGAAAAAAGTTCCTTGCAGAAGGATATGATAAAGTACTAGATGGTTATAAGCACCTTTTCATCAACAGAACACATCTAGGATTCTCTTTCTTGCGTATTGTGCTCCCAGTGCAAATGGATTACACTCCCTTAGCTCTTAAAGACTTTTCACTCCCTGAGGCAATAGTAAAGTGAGACACACACACTGGTCATTATTGCACACAACCAGTTCCCACTGTCTTGAGACTCAAATTGGAAAACAGTAGCAATGCTCTGCCACCCTTTGTCCACAGCCTCCCTCCCTTTACGCCCAAATGAGTTGCCATTAAAAGTAGATTGGGCAGATTTTATAACGTAATCACCCTTCTATGCTTTGGCCAGTAGTGTAAATATCAACATTATACATAGGGCTCTTCGTTTTCAGTTTTTTGTTTTAATTTGCCAGGAATTTATCAGTGTTTATTCAAAATTTAAAAAACAGTGAAAAATGGGTAAAAGCTGAAAATGAAGGGCAGCGGGTGGTGGGAGAGGGGTGCTCGGTACCCACAGTATGCAGGGGGCAGGTGGTCTCAGCAGCACGGACCTGGACCCCTGCCTGTCTTCCTCCCTCACTGTGAAGAGGAAGATGGTGCCAGGATGAAGGGCCAGGGAAGCTGAAAGCTCCACTCCATGAGTACTGGACCCCCTGCCAGACAGAGCCCCCTCCCGATCCTAAGCCTTCAGCGTGGCCCCAGGGCACAGAGCCCTATTTGCTTCACTTGCCAGCCAGAGTCCCCTCCTGACTCCACCAGTAATCAGAAGATGCAGCCTTCCACTCTCCTCCTGACCCCTGCCTGTCAGCCAGGGGAAGCAGATGGGGCCCTGCTGAAGGGCCAGGGTCAGGAGGGGCTCTGTCCAGAGGGGGCCAGTACTCAGTGCAGTCTTCTGGTCCCCTCCTAACACCGGCCTTTCAGACCGTGTCCGCTTCTTCGGTGCAATGGGGGAGCCAGATGGGCAGGGAGCTCAGATAGCCCAACCACTGCAGTAACTGGCCTCCACGGAGCAGAAGCGCTGCACCCCATGAGAACTGGCCCCCCCGCCACACAGAGCCTCTTCTGGCCCCAGCCTTTCAGTGCAGTCCCATCCACTTCCCCTGTAAAAAATTCCTGGGTCCAAGCTAAAACAGTAAAATTGATAAAACCCAAATACTGACTTTGTCAAAACCCTGGGAATTTTTCAGAGAGAATTTTTTACAAATACCAAAAATGAAGGGCCTTGATTATAAACTAAGTGTTATCATTAAGCTTCAGAGTTACTACCCCTTAAAATGAAGTGGGGCATTTAAAAGCAGTTTTTTCAGGCTGCCTGCAATCTCAGGCAGACATCACTAGCCCTTATGACTTGAAGAAGAGGTAAAATAAGTGCTTTTTTTTTTTTAAATATAAGCTTATATTCTGGAGCACAAGATACAGCCAAGATTTGTGTTTCTGGTTTCTCCTTCTCTTTCATCATATGGACAATTTTAGCAATGTCTCAAACACCATTCCAGGACTGCCTGTTCATATGATTGATATAAAAAAATTGCAAGCTGTTATGAAAGCTATTTTTGTTGGATAAAAAGTCATCAACTTAAAGGGTTTCCTGCCCTTTATCTGAATAGTGATGTTGTCAAAATGACAGCATTATGGATCCTGCACCCAACTTTTATAGGCTTGAGTAACATGGATAAAATACATTAATCACTATGTAGTGTGACAAATTGGAAAAAACAATTTACTGCAAGTCATAGAGACATATATAAGAACATAAGAACGGCCCCACTGAGTCAGACCCAAGGTCCATCTAGCCCAGTATCCTGTCTTCCGACAGTGGCCAGTGTCAGGTGCCCCAGAGAGAATGAATAGAACAGGTAATCATCAAGTGATCCACCCCCATCGCTCATTCCCAGCTTCTGGCAAACAGAGGCTAGGGACACCATTCCTGCTCATCCTGGCTAATAGTCATTGATGGACCTAGCCTCCATTAATTTATCTAGTTCTTTTTTGAACCCTGTTATGGTCTTGACCTTCACAACATCCTCTGGCAAGGAGTTCCACAGGTTGATTGTGCGTTGTGTGAAGAAATACTTCCTTTTATTTGTTTTAAACCTGCTGCCTATTAATTTCATTTGGTGACCCCTAGTTCTTGTGTTATGAGAAGTAGTAAACAACACTTCCTTATCTACTTTCTCTACACCAGTCATGATTTTATAGACCTCAATCATATCTCCCCTTAGCCCACTCTTTTCCAAGCTGAAAAGTCCCAGTCTTATTAATCTCTCCTCAGACGGAAGCCGGTCCATACCCTTAATCATTTTTGTTGCCCATTTCTGAACCTTTTCCAATTCCAATATATCTTTTTTGAGATGGGGCGACCACATCTGCACACAGTATTCAAGCTGTGGGTGTACCATGGATTTATATAGAGGCAACATGGTATTTTCTGTCCTATTATCTATCCCTTTCTTAATTATTCCCAGCATTCTGTTTGCTTTTTTGACTGCTGCTGCACACTGAGTGGATGTTTTCAGAGAACTATCCACAATGACTTCAAGCTCTCTTTCTTGAGTGGTAACAGCTAATTTAGACCCCATCATTCTATATGTATAGTTGGGATTATGCTTTCCAATGTTCATTACTTTGCATTTATCAACATTAAATTTCATCTGCCATTTTGTTGCCCAGTCACCCAGTTTTAAGAGAGCCTTTTATAGCTCTTCACAATCTGCCTGGGTCTTAACTATCTTTAGTCATTTTGTATCATCTGCAAATTTTGCCACCTCACTGTTTACCCGTTTTTCCAGATCATTTATGAATATGTTGAATAGTACTGGTCCCAGAACACACACCTGGGGGACACCACTATTTACCTCTCTCCATTCTGAAAACCGACCATTTATACCTAACCTTTGTTTCCTATCTTTTAACCAGTTACCAATCCATGACAGCACCTTACCTTTTATCCAGTGGCAGCTTACTTTGCGTAAGAGCCTTTGGTGAGGGACCTTGTCAAAGGCTTTCTGAAAATCTAAGTACACTATATCCACTGGATCCCCTTGGTCCACATGCTTGTTGACCCCCTCAAAGAATTCTAGTAGATTGATGAGGCATGATTTCCCTTTACTAAAACCATGTTGACTCTTCCTCAACAAATTATGTTCATCTGTATGTCTGACAATATTGTTCTTTATTATAGTTTCAACCAGTTTGCCCGGTACTGAAGTCAGGCTGACAAAACCTCCTCTAATGATACCTCAATCTGGGACAGTTCCTCAGATCTGTCACCTAAAAAGAATGGCTCAGGTTTGGGAATCTCCCTCACATCCTCAGCCAGGAAGACTGATGCAAAGAATTAATTTAGTTTCTCCGCAATGGCCTTATCGTCCTTGAGTGCTCCTTTAGCACCTTGATCGTCCAGTGGCCCCACTGGTTGTTTAGCAGGCTTCCTGCTTCTGATGTACTTAAAAAAAAAAGTGCTCTTTGAGTCTTTGGCTAACTGTTCCTCAAATTCTTTTTTGGCCTTCCTATTTGCCATTTTTATACTTCATTTGCCAGTGTTTATGCTCCTTTCTATTTTCCTCACTAGGATTTAACTTCCACTTTTTAAAGGATGCCCTTTTGCCTCTAACTGCTTCTTTTACTTTGTCTGTTCTCTTACTGTGTTTTTTAATTTGGGGTATACATTTAAGTTGAGCCTCTATTATGGTGTCTTTAAAAAGTTTCCACGCAGCTTGCAGAGATTTCACTTTTGGCACTGTACCCTTTAATTTCTGTTTAACTAACCTCCTCATTTTTGTGTAGTGCCCCTTTCTGAAATTAAATGCTACAGTGTTGGGCCGCTGTGGTGTTTTTCCTGTCACAGGGATATTAAATTTAACTATATTATGGTCACTATTACCAAGCGGTCCAGCTATATTCACCTCCTGGACCAGATCCTGTGCTCCATTTAGGACTAAATCAAGAATTGCCTCTCCTCTGGTGGGTTCCAGGACCAGCTGCTCCAAGAAGCAGTCATTTAAGGGGTGTCAAGAAACTTTATCTCTGTATCCCATCCTGAGGTGACATGTACCCAGTCAATATGGGGATAATTGAAATCCCCCATTATTATTATTGAGTTTTTTATTTTAATAGCCTCTCTGATCTCACTGAGCATTTCACAGTCACTATCATCATTCTGGTCAGGTGCTCGGTAATATATCCCTACCGCTATATTGTTATTAGAGCATGGAATTACTATCCCTCTTACTATATCTTTCCCCCCTCCTCAAATATTCCCCACCTTTAGATCCAAATTGTTTGGTTAAATTAACACAGAAAATGCTTGATCCACCACTGAATACAGGCACCTCTGGTGTATTCAGTTGATTCAATTTAACACTGCACAAGATTACACTACAGCTTAGGACAGAATGTGAAGACCACGCTAGAGACTTTTAGGTAGGTAGGATGTAAGTTTGTAGTTTGGGTAGGATATTTACAACTTTTAAATCAAGCCCAGGTGAGGGTTGATTGCTAGCAATTACCATCTGATGACCCTTCAGTGGCCTACATTAAATGAATTGGTTTCAGTCCAGTCCTTAGTGGACCAGTGTCACTGCCACAACCAGAGTATTAACCACCACCCTTGTTGGGCAGCCTCAGCAGACAGGCCAAGAATTGAATTGGAATGGAAGCCGAGTTCTCTTACCTGTAGAGGTGGTCCCTGTACAGTAGAGAGGAGGTAGATGGACAAAGCAAGTTGCACTGCTGCTTTCTCTGTTATATCTGTTTTATGACAGAGAATTTAAGAGTGCCTCGCCTTGTCAAGTTGGCACCTTCTGACAATACTTATAAAAACTCATATGAAAAAAGCAAATATATACAATTATATAGTGAAAATGAATTCTTCACCTTTTTCTCTCACTCACACAAAGAAGGAAAAAGCAACCTGACCTATAAGACATTTCAGAACAACTCAACGGATAAAAAGGCAGAGGGACATCTGGCTATAAATCACATCTTTATTAAGATATTTAACAGGCACAATGGGGAATGAGTGGATTAACTGGAAATCTTAAAGGCCATTTCAATAATGTACCGTGTCAGTCCTTCATCGATAACTTTGACAGTTCTAGTCCTGAACACATTCCTCTCTTCAATGAATTTCTCAAAGATATGCACACCACCTCCCACCCCAAAATAATGTGCTTTGCTAGCCAAATACACGCGGCCATTTTTATCCAACAGTTTAGAAATCGTATCATGCAAAGCACTGTAATAGTCAGGATTGTAGATGGTCTCGGATGTGAGAATAAGGTCATACTTTGAAAAGGGTTTGTTGCCACTTAACAGGAGTTGGCTAAACTCAGCCCATTCTCCAGAAAAAAATCTGCACTTAGACATTAGAGCTGGTATGAAGTCTGCTTTCTTGTGCTTCTTTGAAGGAGGTTCACTAATTCCGCCATCACCACCACCATCAGTACAGTTAGCCACTACATTAGGCAAGGTTATTTCATCAATCACAGTGTGGTTATAGTCCTGAAAGTGGACTTTTTTAGCTTTTCTCTTTAATGCAAGTATTCCCAGCAGCCCAGCCCCACAACCAAGATCCAAGACTGTCTTGTTGATAAACTGCATTTCAGCCTCTGACAAATAATCCATGAGATCAAAAGTGCATTCCCATATTTTCAGCCCCCCTTCATAGATGCCTGTGATAAGATCAGAGTGAGAAGAAATACTTTTAGACACTATGTCTTCTTCATGGGAGTCATTTGAATGGGTCATTTCCACCACAGAAATATTTACATAGTATAGGCCCTGTACAGCTTCTATAACTTTATTTTCTAACACTTTGCTGAAATCTTCAGGAATATTATGCTCTTTGGCAACTTTAAAGCTGGCTCGTTTCTTTGGCAGCACCTGGACCGGGCTACAGTTTGCTACTGGATCTGAAGTTTTGGGTGTTGCCTCATGTGCACACAGAGACTCCTTGTGCACAATGTTTTCTTCTGATGAAATTTCTTTGCTCTTTTCTGTAGATCCGCCTGGGTTCAAAGAAGCCTGTCCAGATTCCAGCTGCAAAGCTGTATCACCAAGAGTCTCGAGTTCATTTCCTGCTTTCTCTTCAATAGAGAAGTTAAACTGAAAAGCCATTTTCCTATGAAGTACGAAAAAAATAAATCACAGCTTATATCCAAAGTTACAATAGGGCAGACACTCATCCAATGAAACTGTTAATATAAATGTGATTTTTCTTCTATGGCTTGTGCAGATAAGAACTTGCTCCCTGGCTGTAAGGCTGCTCTGCCATAGTTAAAAGCTGTCTGCAAAGATCTTTACATTAGTTATCACTATGAAAGCCTCTACTTTGCAGGTATAATGTCCACTTTCTCTGCAAATTCATCTGTTGAATTCTATAAAAAGAGAATATATGTCAAATATCACATTTCATTAAATTGAAAGATAAATACTTTGCGCTTGTATCTATCCAAAGGACAACATAAGTTACAAATATTATCTAATGCCACCTTGTAACATTCCTTTGAGGTAAGCAATTATTACTATTCCCATTTCACAGAGGAGAAAACAAAAGACAATTAAGGGATTTGTGAAAGGTAATGCAGGAAGTGAATGGCAGAGTTGAGTAAAGTCTGATCTCCTGAATAATTTAATCTTGTGCTTTAGTCACAGCCTTCCTCCTTGAAAAGCACACCGACAAGTTCAAGAAGATATAAATCGCTTGCCTACAGGAAACTAAAAGTTCAAATTTGATTGTCCGACAAGAAAATGTGATTGTTCCAAATTTCAGACTGTGGTCTCATTCTCGTCTATAAATTAAAAGATTATTGCTCTGCATTCTACTTGCTCTATTTTGAACGACTATGCCAGGGTTTCTCCTGTTCTTTTTCAGGGCATCTGATTCTCACTTGGTATTATATGTTTGGTTTTGTCCTCACTTTAAAATAAAAGTGACACCATCAGTTGGAAACTGTGCCAGAAATGAGAATTTCTAATTTGAATAAAAATTCTAATATCTAAATAATATTATGGCTCATATTCATATCCATCTAGTTTGAAAACTAGATCCAAACACACAGACTGGCACTACTCTAGTTCTCCACTTGCACCGCCTGCAGTAGGGTGACCAGATGTCCCGATTTTGGGGTCTTTTTCTCATATAGGCTCCTATTACTCCTCACCCCCTGTCCCGATTTTTCACACTTGCTGTCTGGTCGCCCTAGCCTACAGCTGCACTAATTCTGCACACATTTCACCCCATGCTTAACCTTACTCCTGTGAGCAATCCCACTGCTTTGGGAGGTTCTTGTCTTGAATGGAGTCCCACAATCTTGTGAGCAGAGTTCAGCACATGCATAAATGTTTGCAGGATTGGGGCCAGGGATTTGTTCTTCTCACATTACTATTTGTGCTACAGTAGCCTCTAGAGTCTAAGATCAGGGCCCCATTGTGCCGGGCACTGTACATGTAGAGCAAGAGACCATTTGTCCTGAAGAATTTGCAATCTCTAAAGAGACCAGACATAGGTGAGAGGGGAAAAGAGGCAGAGAGAGCAGGGGAGTGACTTGCCCAAAGACACTCAACAGGCCAATGGCACAGCTGGGAATAGATGCCATGTCTCCTGGTGCCCACTCCCGTGCTCTATCTGCTGTTTCCCCAGAACAAATCTGTCCCTG